CAAAAATGTTAGCAGCGTGGGGAGAAAATTAAACCCCTGGATATCCAGGGGTCAGACAAAAACCCAGGGGAAAAAACTGGGTCAGGATATGGTCCCAGACCGCACCCTAAGGCAACCAGAGGTTCAGTCCTCCAGAGACCCAGAGTGCCAGAACTCCTCTATGATTGGCCCTTTCCCCCATCCTGAAGCATGCTGCCTGCAGGGACCCGAACCCGGCTTTTGCCAAGCAAGCAGAGGGTTGGGGGGCTGGAGGAGGGGAGAGGGGACCTTAGAAGGCTGGAAACAGCAGGGGAATGAACAGGGGGATGGAGACAGCCCCAGAGGCATTCCTCTGCTGTCCCCTGCTCTCCGAAGGCTGGAAGCAGCAGGAGAATGTCTCCGTGGCTGTCTCCAGCCCCCTACTTTTTCCCCTGCTTGTCTCTAGCCTCGGGGGAGCATGGAGCTGGAGACAGCAAGGGAATGTCTCCAGAGCTGTCTCCAGCCTCCTGCTCCTTCCCCTGCTTGTCTCCAGCCTCAGCAGAGCAGGGGACATCAGGGAAATGCCTCCGGGGCTGTCTCCATCCCCTTGGTCTTTCCCCTGCTTGTCTCCAGCCTCGGAGGAGCAGGGGAAGGAGCAGGGGGCTGGAGACAGCAGGAGAATGTCTCCAGGGGCAATCTCAGCCTCCTGCTTTCTCCCGAGGCTGGAGACAATCAGGGGAAGGAGCAGGGGGCTGGAGACAAGCCCCTGGAGATAAGCTGGAGACTTCCCTTGCTCTCTCCAGCCTCCTGCTCGTTTTCTGCTACTGCCAGCGAGTGTCGGTGGGGGCTGGGAGAGCAAGCAGGGAGCTGGGGAATGAATGGAGGGTGGAGAGAATGAACAGTGGGGGGAATGAACAGGGGGTAGGGGGAATGAGTGGGGAGCAGGGGAATAAATGGGGACCAGGGAGAATGAACAGTATATGGGGGGAATGAATGAGGAGCAGGGGAACGAATGGGGATTTGGAGGAACCAACGGTTGCGGGGGGGAATGAGCCTCCTGTTCATTCTCTTATTCTCTCCTGCCTCCTGCTTATTCTACTCATCTCCAGCCTCCAGAGGCTGGAGAAGAGCAGGGGGCTGGAGACCAGGGTGGGGGAGGGAGCTGTCACCCCTGGGGGGTCTGGGACTCTGTAGGCAGGGTAGTCTATGTGCTGGGGCGGGCTCTGCTCTGTGGGGGGCAAGGGACCATTGGCGCTAGGTAGGGGGTGCACGTGCACTCCCTGAGCATGGCGGTGTACCCCCTCAAAAAAGGTGCCGCTGACACTGTAGGTGGTTGCCGCTTGCCACCCCCCCTCCGCCACCCCCCCTCCCCCACCTGCTGCCAATGGTGTCTGTGGGCAGTCAGCGATCATTGCTGGCCACTGCTGTCACTGCCGGTGGTGTCTGTGGGTG